GCCCGATATAAGGGGGTCCCTGAGAAGGGCTCCGGGTTCTTACTGTTGGAGAGGCAGAAGATCCACGTCAAGCTGAAGAAGCCTCCAGCCATGCGGTCCAGGACCCAGCTCTTGATCCAGACCGGGATCGTGGAACCGTGTCGAGTTCCGCCTTAGCGTGGTTAGTTGGGTGGTCACCACCCTAGAGTATGTTGTGTTAATAGGTAAATAAAAGTGTTCCTCCCAAGACAATGTCTGCGACTCAGTTGGACTCACTACACATGTATCTTGGCCCACCTGTGAAGGATGAAGACAAAATAACTAATCTCTCCACATTCTGAGCACTTGCATCTCCGTCAGCATTGATAGCATCCCTGAGATGAGCATACTGTTCTACACGCAAGCGTTTTTGATTCAGTTGAATGTAAAGAAGGCGCTCACTCTCAATTTTGGCAAACTCATTGACAACATACTGGTGAAAGAGGTTGGTGCACCGTAATGTGGTTTCCTCCTTCGCTGTCCATGGTCATGAAGGAATATAAGTCTTTAGAAGAGACAGTTTTGTGAGGATGTCTTTGTCCTGTAGCTTTGATAATTTTAGACATCTGGACGTGGTACCCATCTTGGCCTTGCCACAGAATAATGGGGTATTGTAGGGCATCATATGCTCTGTTTGTCTCAGGAATTTGTTTGGTGTTGTCTTGGTATCGAAGCACACTGTCTCTCTTACCATGTTCCTCACCCACCATAAGAACAAACTCATAATGGTTCGTGCCTTAAAGTTCTGCTCACAAGAGGAAAGTTTGTGAGGCAAAATGCACAATGGCTGTACTTTGTTGTCTTAAGTAAATGAAATAGAGCAGTTAGTATGCAGGGGGGGAAAGCGTGTTAAGTATTGTATATCTGCTGTAATAAAACATGTTGTGTAAAAATGTAGCGGCGAGCAAAAGTGAAAAATGTAAACAAACTGATAATAGTTAGTGAATAAAGTCCTGCTTGCAAGAGGAAAGTCTGAGGCAAAAGACACAATGGCTGTACTTTGTTGTCCTAGCGAAATGAAAGAGCAGTTAGTATGCAGGGGAAGAAAGCGTGTTACATAGTATAAACAGTGAGGGAAAAAAGTATTTGATCCCCTGCTGAATTTGTACGTTTGCCTACTGACAAAGAAATGATCAGTCTATAATTTTAATGGTAGGTTTATTTGAACAGTGAGAGACAGTAAAACAACAAAATCCAGAAAAACGCATGTCAAAATGTTATAAATTGATTTGCATTATCAATGAGGGAAATAAGTATTTGACCCCTCTGCAAAACATGACTTCGTACTTGGTGGCAAAACCCTTGTTGGCAATCACAGAGGTCAGATGTTTCTTGTAGTTGGCCACCAGGTTTGCACACATCTCAGGAGGGATTTTGTCCCACTCCTCTTTGCAGATCTTCTCCAAGTCATTAAGGTTTCGAGGCTGACGTTTGGCAACTCGAACCTTCAGTTCCCCCCACATATTTTCTATGAGATTAAGGTCTGGAGACTGGCTAGGCCACTCCAGGACCTTAATGTGCTTCTTCTTGAGCGCTGCAGGATTTCAGTCCTTCACGGCGTAGTGTGTTACCAACTGTTTTCTTGGTGACTATGGTCCCAGCTGCCTTGAGATCATTGACAATATCCTCCCGTGTAGTTCTGGGCTGATTCCTCACAGTTCTCATGATCATTGCAACTCCACGAGGTGAGATCTTGCATGGAGCCCCAGGCCGAGGGAGATTGACAGTTATTTTTGTGTTTCTTCCATTTGCGAATAATCGCACCAACTGTTGTCACCTTCTCACCAAGCTGCTTGGCGATGGTCTTGTAGCCCATTCCAGCCTTGTGGAGGTCTACAATCTTGTCCCTGACATCCTTGGAGAGCTCTTTGGTCTTGGCCATGGTGGAAAGTTTGGAATCTGATTGATTGATTGCTTCTGTGAACAGGTGTCTTTTATACAGGTAACGAGCTGAGATTAGGAGCACACTCTAAAGGGAGTCCTCCTAATCTCAGCTTGTTACCTGCATAAAAGACACCTGGGAGCCAGAAATCTTTCTGATTGAGAGGGGGTCAAATACTTATTTCCCTCATTAAAATGCTAATCAATTTACACCATTTTTGACATGCGTTTTTCTGGATTTGTTTGTTGTTATTCTGTCTCTCACTGTTCAAATAAACCTACTATTAAAATTATAGACTGATCATTTCTTTGTCAGTGGGCAAAAGTACAAAATCAGCAGGGGATCAAATACTTTTTTCCCTCACTGTATCTGTTCCCACGATCCCCCCCCCCGCCCGCTCTGCAGTAATATCTACGGCCTATAGTAGTAGCATCTACTGACTCTATAGTAGTAACTGCACGCATTGGAGTGGGGGGGGGGGAAGAGGACATCACACTGTGAAGAATTTACCTCAGTGTTTTGTGTATTTTTTGCGCGAAAGAACATTTCCCCCTCACCCCCACCGAACGCGTGTCAGTTGGTATGGTCGAACACGCGCTTTGTAATAAATAAACAAAAACAACACTAAATCGCTTATGAAACTACTTTAAATGTGATGGACGCGAAATCGGTTTAGCGCTGGCTCAGCACAGGGCTTGTGGCGTGGCACCTGGCTACTTATTTTATCGTATACCCCACGGTTCACGAGCCAAATCATTCGCAAGTTTCGGGCAGTACACACAGACAGACAAACAACTTCCTGCGGAGGGAGCTAGTAGGAACGTTGGGTTGCTCGGTCAATGGCCAGGGTCAACGGCGGCGTGGTGTATTCCACAAATATGGCCGACTGTGAGGGCGGGCACAAGCCGGCGTGAGTAGGTTAAACGTTGAGTTTTATAAGGGCACCACGGGGTGACCAGCCCCTCCCCACCCAGCCCCACCCCTCCCACCCTCCCCACCCAAGCCCCTCCCCACCCTCTCCTCCCCACCCAGCCCATCCCCACCCTCTCCTCCCCACCCAGCCCCTCCCCACCCTCCTTACCCAGCCCCTCCCCACTCTCCCCTCTCCACCCAGCCCCACCCCTCCCATTTTTGGATACACGACGGACGGACGATAACAATAATCCCCTGTGGGCTGGTGTAACCAGGAGGTTTCTACCAGTATGATATTAATAGGTTAGATAACGTTTTTAAAGCTGTAAACAATTTTCTACAAAGTCCTACGTGTTGACATTTTAGACTCGGATATTATTTCTGTTGGCAAGGCCCCATTGGGTGAGGCAGCTGTTCTACAAGAGATCCATAGAGTTACACAGAGAAACAGAGATACATAGAGATCCATAGAGTTACACAGAGACCCATAGAGTTACACAGAGACCCATAGAGTTACACAGATCAATAGAGTTATATAGAGATTCAGAGTTACAGAGAGCCATAGCTTTACATAGAGATCAATAGAGATATATACAGTTATAAAGAGATGCATAGAGATCCACAGAGCAACAGTACATAGATCTATAAAGTTACATATAGATCTATATCATTACACAGAGCTCCACAGAGTTACAGAGAGATCAACAGAGTAACATAGCGGGCATATAGAGACGTGCGTGCGTGTGTGTGCGACTGGGGAGCGGTGGTGTAGTGGTTAGCGTACTGCGCTACGAACCTGATGACACGAGTTCGATTCCCGCTCATGGCCAACACCAGTGACGATTATCTGAACTGGTCCTCCCCTAGGTCGACTGAGCCTCAAATGAGTATCTAGTGTGGTGTGTAAACATCGTCACTGGGGAGACAAAGGCGGTCGGGCGTGGTGTTGGCAACCCGCCCCCTTGCGTCCCGTGCTGGCCTTAATAGGTGCTACTCACTAATGGTACATGTCCCAACAGTCTGTTATGGCTATACGGGGGGATCTTTGTCTCAGTGTTTTTGTGCGTCCATACGCACTATAATTTCAGAGTGAAGAGTCAACAGTCTCCGTTATGGGAAGAGGAGTTTAAGGCTGTGATGTTGGATGTAAAAAGGGGACAAGGGGATTCAACAGCGCGGGGAGAAGAGAGAGGGGAGAGAGAGGTAAGAGCGGTGTGTGGATGATCCCTTATGGGTGGTGTGTGGATGGTGTGTGGATTTTCAGCTTATAGATGGTGTTTGGATGGTCCCTTATGGGTGGTGGGTGGATACTCCCTTATGAGTGGTGGGTGAATGGTCTCTTATGGGTGGTGAAGCATAACGCTGTGTGGAAGCTACCTGGTCTGTCACTCCACACCAAGCTTCAGGTCTTCTCGGCCACAGTAATTCCCTCCCTTCTCTACGCTTGCTAAATGTGGACTCCCCCTAATGGAACATCTTCGCTGGTTCGAAACATTTCAGCTGGCCTGCCTACGATCTATCCTGGGTTAGACCAGGCTGGATTGTGTGAGGAGCTCACAAATTCCTTGAAAAGATCTGGACAAAGTCTCATCGGTGAGTTCTTCCGGCAGGCAAGGCTGCGTTGGCTAGTCATATAGCCCGCATTGCCCAGTTACCAGCTTGCCTAAACAGCTTTTTTTCAGCCGGATAGAGAGGGATAGACGGGCGCAGCACGGGCTAGAGAAGAGATGCAGTGATGTGGTACAGGAGGATGTAGAGCTGAGTGGACTTGCCGATGACTGGTATCAGCAGTGTCAAGATCGGCCTCTGCGGAGGCGGCTCGTGAAGGACGCTACTGGGCAGTTGGAGGCAGTCGCCCACCAACAACAACGGAAGGCGGAGGAGCGATGCTCACAACAACGAGTGGAGCGCCGGGCGGCAAAAACACAGCAAGTTGGCACAGTAGGGGGAACAGTTGGTGCATCGACCAGTCATCTGAGTCAGCCGACCTATGGCACCTGCCCCGTGACCTCCTTCCAGCAGACACTCGACACTTCACTTGTCCTCAACGTGTACATAGCCTGGCACAAGCGCTGTGGTGACGTCACCGCCACTTATCGACGAATGGCGGTTGTTAATGCGTGGCATGTGGATGGTCCCTTATGGGTGGCGTATGGATGATGTGGGGTGTTTGTCAGTACTCTAGTACCTGGGTTCGTTAACAATAAGGAAGGCACAGTCGGTGCGTGCGATGTTCCCTCTGGAGCCATGGCCGCAGCGTTCACCGGCACCGATGGTATCATCAGTTTCTCCTCTGCGGCTCAAACAAAAAAAAGGCAGCAAACAAGGCACGTGAAAATATTGTGCCACGGTCCTCAAAACTCCACCAGCATGGGCTCGTTGTTCAACCAGTGAGGTGCGACGATCCCCTCATTTCAGACTTGAGCCCAAAAGTTAAATAAAACCGTTCGTTCGTGGATTCAGACAAACGTCCCAAGAGTGGGTGGGGACCCCTCCCCAAGGAGAGTCTTGAGAATCGCCTGGATATTTCACCGCACAAATTAAAGGCAACAAGCTCGGAATTTTACTGCCGAGGGAAAATATCGTGTCCGCGATTGGTCTTAAGAGGCGGGTGGTGTGTGAATTTTTCCTTATGGGTGGTATGTGGATGATCCCTTCTGGGTGGTGTGTGGATAATCCCTAATAGGTGATGTGTGCATGTTCCTTATGAGTGGTGTGTGAATGGTCTCTTATGGGTGGTGAAGCAAAACGCTGTGTGGAAGCTACCTGGTCTGTCACTCCATACGAAGCTTCAGGTCTTCTCGGCCACAGTCATTCCCTCCCTTCTCGACGCTTGCGAAATGTGGACCCCCCAAATGGAACATCTTCGCTGGTTCGAAACATTTAAGCTGGCCTGCCTACGATCTATCCTGGGTTTTACCAGGCTGGATTGTGTGAGGAGCTCACAAATCCTCGAAAGATCTGGACAAAGTCTCATCGGTGAGTTCGTCCGGCAGGCAAGGGTGCGTTGGCTGGGTCATGTAGCCCGCATGCCCAGTTACCACATGCCTAAACAGCTTTTGGTCAGCCGGATAGAGGTGGCTAGACGGGCGTAGCACGGACTAGAGAAGAGATGCAGTGATGTTGTACAAAATAATGTAGAGCCGAGTGGACTTGCCGATGACTGGTATCAGCAGTATCAAGATCGGCCTCTGCGGAGGCGGCTCGTGAAGGACGCTACTGGGCAGTTGGAGGCAGTCACCTTCTAACAACAACGGAGGGCAGAGGAGCGATGCTCACAACAACGAGTGAAGCGCCGGGCAGCTAAAACACAGCAAGTTGGCACAGTCGGGGGAACAGGTGGTGCATCGACCAGTCATCTGAGTCAGCCGACCATTGGCACCTGCTCCGTGACCTCCTGGCAGCGGACGTTCGACACTTCACTGGGCCTCAACGTTCACATAGCCTGGCACAAGCGCTGTGGATGGTCCCTTATGGGTGGCGTGTGGATGATGTGGGGTTTTTGTTTGTCAGTACTCTAGTACCTGGGTTCGTTAACAATAAGGAAGGCACAGACGGTGCGTGTGATGTTCCCTCTGGAGCCATGGCCGCAGCGTTCACCGGCACTGATGGTTCCATCGGTTTCTCCTCTGCGGCTCAAACAAAAAAAAGGCAGCAAACAAGGCACGTGAAAATATTGTGCCACGGTCCTCAAAACTCCACCAGCATGGGCTCGTTGTTCACCCAGTGAGGTGCGACGATCCCCTCATTTCAGACTTGAGCCCAAAAGTTAAATAAAACCGTTCGTTCGTGGATTCAGACAAACGTGCCAAGAGTGGGTGGGGATCCCTCCCCAAGGAGAGTCTTGAGAATCGCCTGGATATTTCACCGCACAAATTAAAGGCAACAAGCTCGGAATTTTACTGCCGAGGGAAAATATCGTGTCCGCGATTGGTCTTAAGAGGCGGGTGGTGTGTGAATTTTTCCTTATGGGTGGTATGTGGATGATCCCTTCTGGGTGGTGTGTGGATAATCCCTAATAGGTGATGTGTGCATGTTCCTTATGGGTGGTGTGTGAATGGTCTCTTATGGGTGGTGAAGCAAAACGCTGTGTGCAAGCTACCTGGTCTGTCACTCCATACGAAGCTTCAGGTCTTCTCGGCCACAGTCATTCCCTCCCTTCTCGACGCTTGCGAAATGTGGACCCCCCAAATGGAACATCTTCGCTGGTTCGAAACATTTAAGCTGGCCTGCCTACGATCTATCCTGGGTTTTACCAGGCTGGATTGTGTGAGGAGCTCACAAATCCTCGAAAGATCTGGACAAAGTCTCATCGGTGAGTTCGTCCGGCAGGCAAGGGTGCGTTGGCTGGGTCATGTAGCCCGCATGCCCAGTTACCACATGCCTAAACAGCTTTTGGTCAGCCGGATAGAGGTGGCTAGACAGGCGTAGCACGGACTAGAGAAGAGATGCAGTGATGTGGTACAAGAGAATGTAGAGCCGAGTGGACTTGCCAATGACTGGTATCAGCGGTGTCAAGATCGGCCTCTGCGGAGGCGGCTCGTGAAGGACGCTACTGGGCAGTTGGAGGCAGTCGCCCTCTAACAACAATGGAGGGCAGAGGAGCGATGCTCACAACGAGTGAAGCGCCAGGCAGCTAAAACACAGCAAGTTGGCACAGTAGGGGGAACAGGTGGTGCATCGGACCAGTCATCTGAGTCAGCCGACCCATGGCACCTGTTCCGTGACCTCCTGCCAGCGGACGTTCGACACTTCACTGGGCCTCAACGTGCACATAGCCTGGCACAAGCGCTGTGGATGGTCCCTTATGGGTGGCGTGTGGATGATGTGGGGTTTTTGTTTGTCAGTACTCTAGTACCTGGGTTCGTTAACAATAAGGAAGGCACAGACGGTGCGTGCGATGTTCCCTCTGGAGCCATGGCCGCAGCGTTCACCGGCACCGATGGTTCCATCGGTTTCTCCTCTGCATTTCAAACAAAAAAGGCAGCAAACAAGGCACGTGACAATATCGTGCCACGGTCCTCAAAACTCCACCAGCATGGGCGCGTTCTTCACCCAGTGAGGTGCGACGATCCCCTCATTTTACACTTGAGCCCAACAGTTAAATAAAACCGCTCGTTCGTGGATTCAGACAAACGTTCCAACAGTGGGTGGGGACCCTCCCAAGGAGAGTCTTGAGACTCACCGGGATATTTCACCAGATAAATTAAGGGCAACAAGCTCGTAGTTTTACTGCCGAGGGAAAATATCGTGTCCACAATTGGTCTTATGAGGCAGTCGCGTAGGGTTTTTTTTCCTCGCGGGTTGTGGTGCTGCTGCTGCCCGCTGTCCAGCACTCCGATGTGTTTTCAGTTTCCATAAGTACGTGTGTGTGTTGAACTTCCAACCCAGGCCCATCTTGCTCCGAGGTTACAAACGTTGCCGCTGGCACCACCCTGCCTGCACCCAATAGTAAATCATATAGATTGACAAACTCATTTTGTTAAAACTGCTTTCGATTTTAGTTTGTTGTGCTTCCCCCCTGCACCTCCGATTAGCATGGTTGGCTATGTACGGTGTGAAAGAAGTTCAACATACATACGCACAGGAACATTCACCACGACAGAGATTTGGGTGACCCTGGCACTACGATGTAAATAAACCGCGCGGACGCAACCCACGGGAATGATCTGGCGAGGAAGCGTCGCCGGGTGGATCGCCATCGTCACCACCATCGCCACCATCGCCACCACCATCGTCACTGCTCTCCGTGCCACTCTCCGTTCCGCTCTTCGTGACTGCCCCTTCATCGGCGGCTGCCTCCGGCTCCACGTGGAGGCCCTCAAGGGATGAACACGACAAGTGGTGGCGAGATGTTAACTCCCTCACCTGGTATGCAGGAGGTCATGGATTCGATCCCGACCCTGACACTGCCTGCTGTATATGTGGACTTTGTGTATCTCTGTCTCCCTGTAGTTGCGTGGATTTTTCTTTGGGTACTCCGGGTTTTCCATCCAAATTTAGAATCAATGTCATGCGTGTATAGTCATTTGGCTTCTGCTATAAATTTCCACATCAGAATCAGAGTCTTGATTTATCCTGGAAAAATCCGATGAGCTATGAAGCTCTTTTTTTACTGATGTCCAATAGATGTCCACATAAGCCACTTCGTTGAGCTATCATGAGTGATAGCCAGGTCACCTCTGAGAAATAGCTGTATAGCTCAGTGTGTTGACCTTCCAACAATAGTTTCGTGAACAAAGATAGTTTAGTTTACTTGCCACTTTCATTGTCAACTGGCGGACGCGCTTCCTGGGCCAAGTGAAACACAAAATCACGGCTTATTGATGAGGGCAGTGATGAGGATGGGAAAAGTAATAATAGCTCAACTTACCAACTCTCGCTGAATTCGTCTGACCTCCTGGGCAACGCCGTTTTTGAACTGATCCTCGTATGTGGGCTCATAGTTGATTTCGCAATCTGTTACGAAAGACAAATAAGGTTGCTATGAAATGTAATGTAAGACAACCGCAAAGGCTCAACACTGATGGGAGAAGTGTGTGCATTCGCACCTCCGATTAGCACGGTTGCCGACGTACGGTGCGAAGGAAGTTTAGAATACGTACACCGCATGTCCGATTAGCATGGTTGGCTATGTATGCTGGGAAAGAAGTTAAATATGCATACACCACACCTCCAATTAGCAGATGGTTACATACGGTGTGAAATAAGTTCAACGTACGAAGATTTTTTCCCTCCACATTAAGCAGTCATCTTCGCTCACTAGTTTCCGCTCCACACTCAAAACTCGCTTATTCTTCCCTCGCTCACCCCACGAACCCCTCAATCTCCCCTCATAACCACTACCACCGTTACTGTTCCCTGTTCATATTCTCAATACATGGCTTTCACTCATTCACCCCATTCATTCAATTTATTAATCATTTATTGTCATAAATTTCACTTTCACCGAATTTACGTATCACGGATTTGTCCATCGTTTCTTCTCATCTATTTAATCCACCATTACACCGATATGTACTACTGTTATTTATGTGTAAAGCTCCTTGGGTAAGGTACTTAATACATTCCTTTAAGATAATATACGTATATCGAACCTCCGATTAGCACGGTTTAGCTACGTACTGTGCTAAAGAAGTTCAACATACACATACATACATTCAGACCAGTCTCTTAGTGGTGCCGATTTGTGGTTCCTTTCCAGTTACAAGGTAGTGGATGGTGTATACCATAGCCACTACACGGAGCGCTATTTTGTCGCATAACAAAGAAAAATATCCCCCGTATAGCCTTCCACAGACTGTTTGGGGAAAGTGGAGGGAAAGGGGGGAAGGGAGGGGAGGGAGTCGCTCCGGGCTTTCACAAGCAAGGGCGTCGTGACCCTTTAGCCTTACCTTTGAAACTCGGCCGCTCACAGGGATTGTGGGCTCCAGCATTTTGTCATCAGCCAGGTGAATACCCAGGGACAGTCCTTGGAGATCTCTTTGAGGTCTGGCCTCTGGTTCTCCGTGACAAGCATCGCAATGAGCTCCGGGTACGCGATCAATCCGATGACGTCTGCAAAAGCGACGGGGCACGAGTGTCAGAGGCTCGGCGGGAGGTCACCCCCCCACCCCCCCCCCACCACCCACCACCTCGTGTCGGGTCTCAGGGGGTAGGTGGGGGGACTATCCTGGACGGGGCGCTCACAAGGGGATGACTGCCAGGGCTTGCTAGGTGTTGCAGGCGTGGGGGTGCTGCGAGGTGCGGCCAGGAGATGGCGATTGTTGCCCCCTCATTAGGCACGTGGCTATGAGATGTTAATGACCTCGCCTGGTATGCAGGATGTCTCTCTCTCACCATGGTCGCGTAGATCCTAATATCGGAAGGAAGAGCATTCCAGACGGTCGCAGAAGCACATCTGAAAGTGCATGATGCGGTAACTCGTCTTTGTTCGATGGCCAGATAAATGTCGATGCTGCTTCTGCGAGGATAACCCGAGTTTGCGTGTTGATGGTTTATTACTTCTTGATGAGATTAGTGCTTTCACACAGGGGCGTGCTGCGAGGATTGAGGAATGAATGACAGCAGTGATAGAGGGGTAACTCGGGGTAAAGAGTGCTGTAGAGGAGGGACGGGAAGAAGTGGAGGGGCGAGGGGAGGGAAGGACAATGGAGAAGACGTGAGGCTTTGAGGGAGGAATGGAAGGACGGAGGTTATGGAGCGTGACTGTTTGATGTTCCATGCTGGCTAGGTGTCAAGGAAGAGGCGGCCATTTTAACGACATTTCACCGCCACCAAAAGAGAAGTTGATTCGCTCTGTGCATGCCATTGAACAAAGACAGTCACATGCGCTTCTGCAGCCGCCTCGAACGCTTTATCTTCTGATATTATGAAGCCACTGGAGCTATACACTTTTAAATCTGGATTGAAAAAACTAATTTCTTTAGAACTGCACCTCCGATTAGCACGGTTGGCTACATCCGGTGTGAAAGACGTTCAAGAGACACACACCGCACCTTCTATTAGCAAGGTTGGTAACGTATGGTGTGAAAGAAGTTCAACATACATACACACGTGCACCCGGTCCCCACCGTAAGTTGCGGCATGGGCATTTACTTTCGTATGGCTCCTTGTTGGTCAAAATGACCCACGTCAGGATTGCAAAGCTGTAGACGTCCATCTTCTCGTCGACCTTGCGATTCAGGCTGCCCAGCCGCTCGGGCGCCATGTAGGCGAGGGTACCCATGCCCAGCTTGCGCTTCGCCGTCTCCCTCTGCTGGGTCTCCATACGAGTGAGCTGCGTCCACGTCTTGCACACCGACGTGCCGAAGTCCGATAGCTGCTCGCAGTTTCGACATGGGTAACGTGATACATTTTTACTGTTTGAATTTTTTGTAGTTATTATATATATAAAAAAGTGTTTTTTTACCGTTACCAGGTAAGGGGCCCGCTGAGCCGTGTACACTGTCTGGCCCAGCGAATTTCTTCATCATCGTCTGAAATGTACAGCAGCCAAACACTCGACAATGATCGGTGTGGGCTTCCTCCAGCGGCAAAGTTATGCCATCGATTGTGATGATGATAATTTACCTGCTGGTCCACAGGAGAGCCACGGCGAGTGGTAGGACTCATTTTCAGAAAGTGTCCTGATGCGTTGGGCTTTCATAAGCCAAATAATAGAGAGCTATATGTATTTTTCCCCGCACCTCTGATTAGGACGGTTGGCTATGTCCGGAGCGAAAGAAGTTCAATATACAGTACATACATTATACCAAGTGAGAGGAAACCAGAGCACCCAGAGAAAACCAATGCCTTGCGCGAGGGTGCAACACTCTATCCCCACAAAGATGTACTGCCTTCCCGTGGCGAGCCAGGGTGATGGCATCTCCTCAATGCGCCACGAAAAGGGGAGTTTCGCAATGTCCATATATGCGGCGATCCACCAATCCCTCGCCACTGCCTCTACACAGCACTCGCTTACAGGCAGTAATATAGCCACCACCACTGCCTAGCTATCGAGGCGATTTTTGGCAGTTTCCGGCGACGGCTGAAGGGCGAACACACAAACCTCGAACTCTCACGTGCTGCGCCCAGCAGAGGAAAGCCAGAGAGGCTCGGAGAGCCCAGCGGCAGCGAGGCTGATCGATTGTCACTCTTCATCAAATATCTCGAAACTCAACCGCGGGCCTCCATGCGACTGTGCCCCCTTTACAGCCTTGCGTCACGACGCGCGGCCCCCCACACCCCCTTTTCCCACACTTTCCGCAATCCTCCATCCCGCTCCTCCCCCTCGCTACGAGCTTACCTTGGCGTTGAGTCCATTGTCCAGGAGGACGTTCTCGGGCTTAAGGTCTTGGTGAACGATGTTGTGGGCGTGGAGGTAGCTCATGCCTTTGAGCACCTGCAGGACGAGCCTTCCCCTGAGGGACCAGCCGATGGCGGTCTGCCACTGAGAGAC